AATCAAGTCTGTCTCTTTCTTACGTGAACTTAGATTTGTTTAAAAATTTCGATTTGCATAATTTAATGCACAATAGATTCTTAATTTATCATGGGATTGCACGTATTTGAATTAACACTCAAGAGATATTACAAAATAATCTTCTACAACAAATCTTTGCCAAAAGTAAATAATTGATTTGTAGAGAAAATAATTACGAAATTAGAGAAAACTCAAACGCTTGTAGAAAATGGAAAATGTTTAATAGAAAAAAATCACAATAAGTTGTATTGTGTTGGAAAAGATGTATTTAAAAACTACGATTTATAACAATCTAGGCTACAAAAAGGAAATTAAAGTAATAAACACTAAGCTGAATTTTTTCCAAAATAATATGGAACCTATAACATAGAAAGAAGCTTTATATAAATTTATTCAAATAGATGACATACATTTTTGATTGAAAACAATTTAGTTTATTGATTTATGATTTATATAGATAGTTATTTTATAAGTATTTATGCTCAAAAACTTCATGTTTAGTGCATATTATTCTTTAGTCTGCGACTGACAACACATTAATAATTTAACCATTAATCTTTCTCATCTGTGTACTTTAATTTTTATGAAAAAAAAATATATAAAAAAGTAATCTTCCTTAATGGATCCGAAGGAAATCGAAAAAATTCTTAGCTGCAATTTTTAAAAGTATTTTCACAGCTCTTAGCTGCAACGCACTTGTATCACTTTTTAAACTAAGCTTTTCCATTTTTAATAATTTAAGGAAGTAAAACTAAGCATAAACAGCAACTAAAATTAAAACTCATTAACAGGAAAAATAAAAAACAGTTTACACCCGACTTTTCGAAATGTCAACAGCGAGTGATAATAAAATTTAAAATTATTATCATTGGAGCAGGTCCCTAAACAATGGCTATTTGACGTGCGCCAAATGAGATGCGCGAACTCTTCCAGCTAAAGCGGGTTACACTTCAGTGTATTTAGTGGTAAAAGGAATATTAGAATGTCCCCAAAAAACTTACAACTGTAACAGTACATTTTTGCTAAATGATTTAAAATTTAAAAAACGAAACTAAAATTCTCAAAATCAATACCACACAAAAATTTGAGCATTAGTGAGTGTTTTCATTTCTTCCCCTTCCTCATTAAATTTAAATCGTTCTTGATTAATTTATTTGAAATAACAATTCTTTAGTCCTATTAATTCAATATCAAGTTAGTCAATTTACCTTATTAATTTTGTTTATTTGTTAGCTCTCATAAACAAAAAAAATTGTCATAATTTTTTCTTCTTGTTTACTGGTCTTCTCTAGTAAACACATAGTAACTATTTCTTATTTGTTAAATTTGTTAATTTATTTTTTGTTGAAAGGTCAATTTTTCTTACATATTTTTACTTATTTACCAATTACATTCAATTTCTTACTCTTGGTCAACTGAAATGTGGTATTTATTTACATTATTCAAATTTTCATTTGCTGAAATTCATTTGTGCTTGCATACTAGACACCATTTTTTCCAATATTTTACACAGTAGTATAATAAGGTACTCAACACGTTGGGTTGTTCCTCTAATTTCCTACGAGTGTGTTAATCAAATCTCTTATACACATTTAACCAGTACAATTTTGTGTATTTTAATCCCAGTGATCCCTACAGTATTGTGGACTATTTAGATCGTCCTTCATTTACTTTAATGGGTACTCTAGCTGCATACCTAACAATAATCGTCCCTTATAAAGGCCACCACAGTCACTTTTTTCTTCTTTACATAAAGTGTCCAATTGGATTTCCATCACATTTCTTTTCTGACAGTTTTACCACACTACATCCCTTTACTAATAAAGGGATCTCACAATAACTTCCACGGTTACATCAAAGAAACCAAATGGAAGCTTCACGGAGAGTGAGGAGGAAAGAGCTCGCCTCTTACTCGAAACTCACTTTTCTGGAAGCACACCTTTTCTAATAAGGGACACAACTAAGGTAAGCAGGCCCCCAAGAGAGGCAGCTGTAGTGGCCAAACAGATATGCAGCAGAAGTCTCCAGGTGTGAATGGAATATTTCCTGCCCTGGTTCAGCAGGCACAGGAGGAATTACTACCACACATAATCCGGCTATTCCGGAGCAGTCTGGAGCTGGGATATACAGGGTAGCTGTTAAATATGGAACCAAACCTATAGTGCTTAAACGGTTCAACATACAAAATCCAAAATTTTAGAATTTCAACTAAATATATTTGCGCATATTTTAGCCCAAAAATTATTTTTCTTATAATTTCAAAATTTTAAGCAAGGCCGCCATCTTGATTTTTTTAAATTGCAACATAGGTCATGTTATATACCATTTGAAAGGGTTTAACACCCTGATTACAAAAATCTATCATAACACAACAGAAAGGATATTATTTTAAAAAATCAAGATGGCGGCCATGCTTAAAATTTTGTAATTATAAAAAAAATCATTTTTGTGCTAAAATATGCGAAAATGTATTTAGTTGAAATTCTAAAATTTTAGGTTTTGTATGTTAAACCGTTTAAGCACTATAGGTTTGGTTCCATCTTTAACAGCTACCCTGTATATTAGAAGCATGAAGAAGGACCAGAGTCGCCTTTATCCCAAAATTAGGGAAAAAGAATACCACACATCCTAAATCCTTCCGACCAATCAGCCTCGCATCTTTTGTATTAAAAACAATGAAGAAGACTGTTGGTAATTATATCAAAACGGAAGTCCTGGAGAGGGTGCCATCACAGCCAACACGCGTACCGAGCAGGAAGATTTACAGAAACTGCCCTGGTACAGTTGACTGACGTAATCCAGGAATCACTGACAAACAAAGGAACAGTCGTGTGTGCCTTCCTAGACATAGAAGGAGCTTTTGACAACACGCCACACGAAACTGTAAAAAGAGCACTATCTCCATCTGCACAACTAGAGGATATCAACAAGGAGGAGTTCTATCCCCACTAATGTGGAGCCTAACCGTAGACGATCTTCTATGCAGATTGACTGACCTCGGCATACCCTGTCAAGGTTATGTCGACGACATAATCATATTTGCTAGTGGCAAGTTTAGTAATATCCTGTGTGATATAGTCCAACGAGGACTAGAACATACCAAAAGATGGTGCCGTGAAGGAAAAGAAAACTTAATCTCAACACCGTTAAATTAGACGGGATAGATATAGAATGGAAAAATGAAGTCAAATATCTAGACCTAACCCTGGACAACAAACTTCTCTGGAACACACATGAGAAGGAAGTAGTAAATAAGGCCACAAAATGCCTAATGGTATGCAGAAACATTGCAAGTAAACGATGGGGATGTAACCCAAACATACTGCGATGGATGTATACTGCAATAGTGAGACCAATCATCACTTACGGGGCTATAGTCTGGAGTAACAGAACTAGTTTGGCTACTACGAGAGCTAATATCTCAAAAGTACAAAGACTAGACTGTGTTTGCATTACTGGTGCAATGAGAATCTGTCCTACGGCCGCAATGGAGGTGATCTTAAACCTCACCCCCTCTACATTTGATGATAGAGAATGTGGCAAAAAAGACACGATATAGAATAATCAGGAACGGAGTAATCAGACGAAAGTCTACTTGCTTCAGGACTAAAGACACCTGGGAAATGCCCCAGGATGAAATGCTAAAGAAGTACAGTTTTGTAAAACACCTTAAAACCACAGAGCTGGGCTGCAAGAAAAAATGGAGCCAAGAATCCATCGCGCTTGCAATCGAAAGACGTGCTATTCGGTGGTATACGGACGGTTCCAAAACTATAGAAGTAACTGGAATAAGAGTATCTGGGCCGAGAACCAAGCCCTCCGGAAGCTTGGGAAAATACCCAAGCATCTTCCAGGCGGAAATTCACGCCACCCAGAAGTGTATCCAGTTTAACATCGAGAGAAACTATCATGTCCGATAGTCAAGCAGCCATCAAAGCGATGAGTTCTTACGTAATCAGCTCAAAAATGGTCTGGAGATGCCTAGAACAATTGAATGAGCTAGGCGAGAAAAATAGAGTAACTCTCACTTGGGCCCCGGAACATAACGGGGTATAAACGAGATTGCAGATCGTCTTGCAAGGAAAGGGACTCAAACGCCCTTTGTAGGGCCTGAGCCGTTCTGCGGTATCAGCAGTAACATAATATTAGGAGAGATTCAAATAGAATTGGGCAGTAGAAGAACCGATAATTGAACAATCTCTTGGGGCTGAGACATGCCAATATACTTCTGGGTGAATATAACCAGAAAAGATCTGAAGCCTGCATCTACCTGAGCAAGAACAGGCTACGTATTGTAACAGGGATCCTTACCGGGCATTGCCAACTAAAAGGACACCTAAGTAAACTGAGAGTAGTAGAGGATAGTGAGTGCAGATTTTATGAGGAGGAGGAGGACGAAACCTCCATTCACATCCTAACTGAATGTGTAGCACCCCAGAATCCAAGGGCACTATATCTAGGAGGATATCAAATAGAATAGGGAGATTTACCTAACTTGAAGCCATTTCAAATCCTACACTTCCGTGAGAAAATAGGATTGGAAGGGTCGTTATAGGCATTGAGACATTTCCTTAGTGCATTGGCGACAGAAGGGAATACAATAGATCTTTTAGGTCGCAGTGTATTAACACCCCATTCCCAACATAACATACATCAAGGTTGATCAATGTTTTTAGCTCATCTGGACCCTCGTTGAAATTTGGTTTGTCAACGTTGCCGGACTGAATACAAGATATTGACCACTACCTGCTGATATTCTCTATCTGGCCTCTTCCTTTAACAACCATCTATAAAGGATTTTACTTCCATGTGTTCAAAGTTTTAAATTACTTATGATGATCATCTACCTGACCCTAATATATATGATTAAGATATTTCGTTTTAAAGTATGTTACCAGCTTAAATGTTTTATTGTTTTATGAACCATTGTTTATTAAGCGGCTGATTAACCTCTACGATTTATTTAAAATTTGTTTCAGGCGTACCTGGGAAGAGGAACGAGATCTATTACAACTGCTGCCCAGAGCCTTATATCGACATAACCTTCTTCATTCTAATTCGGCGGCGTACTCTATACTACTTTTTCAATCTAATAGTACCATGTGTGTTAATCGCGTCAATGGCGGTGCTGGGATTCACCCTACCGCCAGATTCTGGGGAAAAACTTTCGTTAGGAGTGACGATACTTCTGTCGCTTACTGTCTTTCTCAATATGGTTGCCGAAACGATGCCTGCCACTTCTGATGCTGTACCTCTACTCGGCACCTACTTCAACTGCATTATGTTTATGGTAGCATCATCTGTCGTTTCTACTATCCTGATTCTTAATTATCACCATAGGAACGCTGATACGCATGAAATGTCTCAATGGGTGAGTTTATTTATTTATTTTTTACATCCAATTTTTAGAATTAAAAGACCTCTCACAAAGGTCAGTTTTTGGGGATCTTGTGTTTATTATTTACATAAATGATATAATAAACCATTTAAAACCCTTAGAATGAAATTAATACTTTTTGGTGTCCATTTTAAAAAAGTCAAGATTTTAAACTTAAACTGCCTGAATAAATCTAGCCATGAAATAGGATTACGCGTAAGGATACTGTTGCATAAGCAGAGTAGGTGGTCGTTTACAAATTAAATTACATTAATCTCTACAGTTTTACAACACCCACATAAAGAACGAATCCAGTTGAAAAATGACAAGTTCCTTACAAGTGATTGAATTGCCTGTCCAAAAAGCAGAGAATGACGAAAACTCAGTGGAAAATGTGTGGAATAACGACGAGGCTATTTTGATTCTATTGAAAAGTATTCCACGATTTAAAATGTTTGAGAATCGCTGCCCTAAACTGATTCGAAATTTTAGATGCTCAATGTAGAACAAAATCAATAGAAATTTCAAAGTGGCCTTGTTATTATTCATGAATGCAGTATCTTCTACTCGATATATATTGTACGTGGTGGTGAGGGGTCACATTGTGCCATATCGTCATATACGGCAACATTTTGTCTAACTAGAACGGAAGTCCCTTTTCTCGTAATTTTATCTGTAGCAAAAGTAAGAACGGTATAATAGTATAAAGATAAAGTTCGGGGTATGGGTAACGGAGAGCTTTTTTAATAAAATTATTTCCCTTTGCATGTGCTAACGGGTATTCCTGTCAACAAATTGGTTATCCTTGAATCAATTATGTATTTAAAGACTTGATGGAATCAGAAAAATAATAATTACTTTTTTAAAAATAACAAAATATCTTCTAAGTCCTATTCCGTTTATTATGAAAAGAGTATACAGAGTGTTATTTAATTACATGTATACAGGGTGTCCCAACGAAAAGCACCCATCCTAAATAACTTTCTAAAAACGTGGTGAAATAGGTCGATCTTGATTTTAAGGAAGACATATTTTACCATAATACGTGTCTACGTTACGTCACCCCTACACCCTACACAGTTACCCCCTTAAAAAATTTAAATTGCGAGGGAGTGATACCTCTTTTAAAAGATTTTTGAACTTTACAATCATCTACATTATTTTTAATAAAATTTATCAATGGTTTGTGAAAATAACTGTTTTTATAGGATTTTAAAAATAAAAACACGAAATTAAAATGATGGCTTATTTCTTCAACAGATGATTGTTGAGATTACCCGAATACACGACACTGGTTAGCATATCAACTAAAGTTAAACAAATAATGATTGAGAGTAAACCGCGTTGTCATATCTCAATTTTACGTTACCAGTTTCTAGCAGAATCTAAATATAGTAAGCAGTAGAATTGTAGGTTGTGGCAAATTATAGATAATATACAATCCTAGTACGATTAAAAATGTATGACAAAAATCAATAATGAGTAATACTTATACATTTCCTGATCATTCAAAATTAATTATTTTACGTATTATTCAGTCTTTATTACAACTAATGGCAACGCTGTACGGAACGATATTTGTGTCTTTGTCAGTTTCGCGTAAATCCATCTCATCGATGCAGTGCTCAGTAATGTACTTGCAACCACGAGCATATCATCGGGTTATGAATTATACAGCGTGAATTGTAAGTTAAGTTAGTTAGTAATTGACGTGTTGTGATAACAATTGGTGAAAATAATAGTGCTAATAAGTGATTAAACAATAAATAATTATATTTTTACACAGTTCTAAAACTACTTAAAAAATTGGAGACACTGCAGGGCTTTCAACGTCGAAAACGGTGAAAGGGTCGAAAAGTCTCGGTCGCAAGTGAAAAAAAAAATAGTACTTTCACTGTCTTGAAAGAGATCATCAGCGACCAAAAGATGACTTAGTGAATATGTTCTGTAATTCTACGAGTGTACCTCCGAATAACCAACCGGGCGTTCCAACATCATTAATTTCCATAATTACAAAAGATATATTAGTTGATATGTGCTCTGATTATACGGGTGTACCAAAATCATCGATTTACAAAATACAAAGAGAAAAGAAAATTCATGGGGAAGTACAAACGTCAAAAACTAGTAGCGGACGAAAAAAAATCACATTTGATGAAGCAGCCAAAAACAGTATACGCAAAACTATTCACAGTTTCTTTTTCAGAAATGAGCTGCCCACTTTGCAAAAATTTCTGGAGGCAATTAGCGATCATGAATTGATCCCACAAATGAGTAAAGAAATTTTATACGAAATAAAATTTACGTACGGAAAAGTCGACAAGAAAAGCATTCTCATTGAACGTCAAGAAATAATAGTATGGAGAAGAATTAGAGAGTTATTGGAAGTTCACTTAAGGTGCCGCTCTTATTTTGACATCTAAGCATGCGCAGATCACTTACATTCTAGAACTGACTTTAATAAAGATTGTGCCTGTCCTTAATTGTGGATGTTTAAGGACAGCAGTTAGTGACGACTTTATAGTTTTCGGGTGCGCTCGCCAAAATTCGTATCAGTTCTAAATTTTTTAATATTAAATACTTAATATTATCGTCATCTAAACCTTCTAAAATGATAATTTCTAATGATAATCCTCGTGTGCCGCAATAATCCTAGAAATGTTAATGTTAGAAGATAATTTTTTAATAAGCTTTTTTTTGCCAAGAAATTATGAAAAATTTAATACGTCAAGTGGTTTTTAAATCACCTTTGATATTCTTAATTTATTTATTTTCGTAAATACAAGAAGCGTTTTCTTAGTAATAAACAATAATTGTTAATACGAGAGTTATCAAAAATGTAACTTATTAGTAAAGGTCCAGAACATGTCTGTATAAGAACAAAGTACCAGCTACAAAAAATTGCCATTTGTGCAGTATTAAATCCCTCTAACAGTAAAAATTACTTAAATTTACAAAAGATACTGACATTTACTCTGTACTAGCCAAAATGTTAATTATCCATTGTAAACTATTGTAAAAAACAGCATTTATAAGGTATTATACCTCCGGTAATGATTCTTTGAGGTTGAAGCGGTAAATTAAAAAAAGAATTTAATCTACCTTATGAATTTATTTAATGTAATTTCTGTAATAACATAAAAACCTAAATCTGTTTACATGAACGTAAAAATATAGAAAGTATTTTTCAAATGAGGTATCACATGACCCTACTTTCCATTAGAAAATTTAAAGCTAGTAACTCCCTCTATCTTACGTGTCCCAAGTAAAGTGCATCTCGTTATAACAAAAATATAATATCTCTTGTCCTCACTGTATATAATACATTCCTTAGTATTACCTTTTCTTTGACAGTTTTTCGAAAAAACGCTTAAAAATTTTCAACTTATCTTCAAAAGTAAACTCAGAAAAGCAGAATGGATTAAATATAAGAAATGATTGTATAAATTTTAAATAAATTAAATAAGAAATATTTTTTCTTATAAATCACTATTTATAAAATTCTAATAACACAAGTACCATTTAATATACGAGTATATAGAATAGGTGTGTTATAGTTAATTTTTTGACTATCTCGAAATCTAATATCTTAAAACTTTAAGTTACGATAAACATATTGAAAATTTCAAATAAGCAAACAGAGAATTGTTCGAGAGAGCCCGAGAGAGCTCGAGAGAAACGACAAATTCTCGTCGAGAGATGACACTCTCTCGTCACGTCTCGAATCTGTTTTCGAGAGAAAATGTCTCTCTCGTCTCGTTCGAGACAAAACAAGACGAAACGAGAGACGAGAATCTCTCGTCTCGCGGTATCACTAGTCTAAAGGCAGAACTACTTCAGCTAACAAAATTACACACAGACAAATATAAAAAATTCGCAGTGGATGAGATGACGTTAAGTCGTGGAATTACAGTTTTAAGGTTACCACCGTACCACTGCGAACTAAACCCAATAGAATTAATCTGGGCGCAAGTAAAAGGATATGTGACACGAGAAAACAGAACATTTAAATTAGTGGACGTGCAGCAATTCCTACAAGAAGCCATTTAAAATGTTTCTGCAGAAGACTGGAAGAAATGCATTCAGCATGTTTTAAAAGAAGAGCAAAAAATGTGGGACGTAGACAACCGTATTGAACACAATATTGAGCCAATCATAATTAGCTTTGATGATAGCGGTAGCAGCAGTGACGAATCTGAGGTTGAAGATTACGAAAATTTACACACAAAAAGAAGTCTATATATTTAGGTAGCTTTCTTATTTTTAATTTTAAATATATATTGTGATATTTATTAATATTGTTAATTTATTTGGTACCTACTATAATTACCACAATTATTACTCAGTTTTCATAAATCCCAACTAATTACTACAACGATTAGGTAAATAACGATATTGCAAAGTTTTAATGAAATAAATAAAAAATTTGTGATTATTTTAAATAATTTTTGGTTCATTCTTAACCCTCTCAAAAATTAATAAGCACGCCTCCGATTTGCTATCAACTGGGCTTATTTCTACTCTCAATCATTATTGGTTTTACTTTAATTGTTATTATCTTAAAATAATTAGTAAGAGTTTTTTTTTGACAAAAACCTTACTTTTTCATTTGGTTGTCGATCAATAAATTAACAATTTTATAAAAAAATATGTAAACGATTGTAAAGAGAATTCAAAGATCTTTTAGAAGGGGTATCACTCGACCCCCTAGAAATTTAAATTCTTTAAAGGGGTGACTGTGTAGGGTAAAGGGGTGACGGTACATATACAAATATTATAGTAAAATGTGTCCCACTTGAAATCAAGATCGAAGTATTTCACCACTTTTTAGAAAGTTATTATCTTCGCAGTTATTTAGTTATTTAGGGTAGGTACTTTTCGTTGGGACACCCTGTATAATAAAGCAAATTATTTATTTATCAAAAAATAATCGGTGCTCTGCACTTAAAATAACTGATAAACCCACCAGTAAGTGAAATTGTAGAAAAGATTCA